GGTGGCGGCGGCGGGCGATCGGGTCGCAGGGGGAACGGAGACAAAGGGTCGTGTCGAGCGGGACGCCGGGAGGACGTGCACAGCGGCGGTGGCTGGCTGGCGGGCGAATCGAACCCGAGGAGAGCGCATCGTGTCTGGCGGCGCCCCGTCGCCGCCGCCGATCGTACATAATATGGGAAATATGGACGAAATATGTGTATACAGAGCGGAGAGCGTGCTGTTCAACGGAGGAAAGACCACGCGAAAAATGAAACGGACCGTATGCGTGTGCGCGCGTATACGTTGATGTAGGGGCAGGGACGGTGGAGAAGACGAGGTGTGTTCGCCTCAGCAGGACACGAGGAGAGTTATAAGACGGAGGAGTGGGGGAGGGGGGAAAGAGAGGAAAAAAAATGGAAAAATATCTTACATAATAACCGCCTCCGACCGAGCGCCCCGAATCGATCGAACGCGATACTACACGGAGACGCGGCGTGCAACCCGTAAAACGTCATCGTCGTCAATGGTACCCGTACGCCGTGTACCCGTAAAATATACGACGCGTTTTAGAAATGCGAGCGCGGTACGGGGCCCGGGACACGAAAAAATCCCTGGCCAGAGAAAGTGTGTACAATGTAACAACAGACGGTATACGTTACGTAGTCGGTCCGGACGAACGTAAATAATATATTTTATTTGATTTTTTTTGTACACACACATAGGAGTATATACGTACATTTACGATGTATGCGCGTAATATTAATACAATGTACATATTATTATATTGGTGTTCTGAGCCCGCGGCAGTAAAGACCCGGTGGAGCGCGCGTGAATCGAATCCACCACCAATCATCGGCGGCGAACACCGGTATGTTTTGTGCGAGGGGATGACGACGACGATACGGCCGGCGGTGGAGTAGTGGAAACGATAATAAAAACTGCGGCGGCGTTTTTACGCAGTAGGTCCGGGAAAGGATGTGCTGTACCATAATACAACGATGGACAATTTAATACACTAAAATATTAAACACATAATAGTAGGAGTGTACGAAAAAATAAAAATCAAAGTAAAATTATGACGCAGTTGTAACTGATGGGAAACATGAATGAGTGCATTTCTTCTTACTACGCAACGAGTAAAATATATATGTATTTATTTATTTAAATCACGTGTTTATACGTGTATGGTACTGTATACGCAGTGACGGTGATGAGAAATACAATTACGGGACTAACGATGAAAGGCCGTCGAGCGAATTCGAACGTTTCACCCGCGCGACAAAATATAATGTTGTTAAAAATCAATTTACGAGGCGTGGATTTCGTTAAATATTCATAAGACATATCCGGAATGGTGACAGGACAATATTACCCTCGGCGCGTGCGTGCTTTGCTTTGTGCTGGTCCTAAAATACGAACGTAAGATGAATCATCGAACAAGATCTACGATATAAATGAATAGATACTGTGTACGTGTCACAGACAGATTTTTCCGCGCTATGTTTGCTGTACTTGGTTGGTTCCGAGCACTTCAGAGTACAATATATTATGTTCACTTCGAGGGGGGGGGATAAATAAATATAACGAGTTCACCGCGTGAAACGCAAAACCTAAACTTATTTCGGAGCATAGATTGGTGAATATGTTGGGCGGAGAATGCTAAAATGATCCACTTGACGCAAATATTTTCTCTACAGTTCGAATGTTCTTATTAACTTTTTCACGGGACCGTATAACCTCGGGTTACATCATCTTTTATATGACCAGCGGCATGAGTACATAACTAAATTCTCATGACAATTGTATCAATTATAGATGTGTGCAATCACGTCCATTGAACTTGAGTATATATTATTTTTTAAACCATATGTTACGATTTTCAATGTAACTGACATGCGAACGATGAAATTAAAATATTCTCGAGGACAACAAATAAATACTCCGATACAAGTACAAAGGCGCGGTAATTCTCAAAAAAGCTAGCCACCCTAAGAATATATTAACATTATTACAGTTACTTAACCACAACACAGATTTTTTCTGACAATGTAGAATGCACTATATATTATCGTAGGTAT